AGGCCATCACATTGGTGCTCAAGTTTTGGATTGGATTTTAGAGCATTTTGGATTTTTGGGTTAGGGATGTTAAGTATACTACACTATGGCAAGGTAGAAATGCTGTATTTATTTATTTATTTATTTATTTATTTTTTATATTTATTTATTTATTTTTTTTGGTACTGGTGATTGAACCCAGGTCCTGCCATTGAGCTACATTCTTGGTGTAACTTTTTAGATTAGAGATAGGGTTTTTTCAATTCTGAAGTTTCCCAGGCTGGATTTGAACTTCCAGTCCTCCTGCCTCAGCCTCCTGGAGTGCTAGGAGTACAGGAGTTGTCACTGCACCCAACTCAAAATATGATCATTTTGAAAATTTTGTTTCATCTTCTGTGTAAAATATACCATCTGGTTCTAAGTGTCCTTGTCCACCAACACTTTGCACTGCAGACAGTTTTCGATTTCTGCACATCTCCAGTGTAGGACGCTAATCTAATCGCTAAGCTCTTCCTCCTCACTGAAGTACGCGCTCTTCTTTATCTTCGGGCACCTCGAATCCGGGGAGGTCGAAGGGCCCCCAGCGCTGACTTTCCATTTTCTTTGTTCTTCCATCTGGGCTTGGCTGAGGCTGTCCAGAGTGGGGTCCTCGCCCTCACCCTTGCTTCCTGCTGCGTCCTCAATTTCCTCCGGTTCAGTGGTTTTCTTTTTCTTCTTCTTTTCTTGCTTCTTTGGGGGCTCACATTCCCTGAGCATATTCTTTGGACAAGCGTAACTTAGGTGTCCACTTTCTCCACATTTTTTTTTCTTTTTTCTTTTTTTTTATGAATTTAGGACAGGGTCTACAGGATCTACAGGGTCTAAAGGGTCTCACTACGAAGATCAGACTCATAGTGAGTCTCCTGTTTTCAGCCTTCCAAGTGTTGGGATTACAGGCATGTGCCACCATGCCCAGTCTCAATTACTGTCGCCGGGCATCTAGGGGGTGGGGCCGGCACTGAACACCGGGATTGAACCCCGGCGGCTGTGATCTGCCTTAGCAGGTGCTTTAGGCAGGCCCTTTCCCCCACATTCGTAACAGATTCATCAAAGTAGTTTTGCCTGAGGATGAATTCAGCTGCTCTTCCATCGTCAATAGTAATGTCTGCCTTGGTCACTCTACCAAATATGGCTCTGGTGCAGCTTTGGGCAGAGTCTTTATCCAAAAACAATGTGAACGCCACTCCTTTACTCTTCCTCGTGTCTTTGTCTTTCATTATAGTAACCTTCACAACTTTGGCATACTTGGAAAATATCCGGTATCATCAGCCCTTGTCAGGGAGAAGGGCAAGTTGGACACATCGCTGTGCTCCTGCTCAGAGCCAGGCCACCGCGCATCTCTTTGGGCGGGTCGGCACCGGAGCAGGGGTTCCCGGGCCACAGAAGCCGCCGCCACCCTGCCTTTCACGGCTCCCTTCAATCCGGCCGCAAGGGTGGATGCCAGAATCAGAAATTTCTAAGAATCAAAAAGACTAGAAATAAACACTAACAAATGAACGCTGTGGCCTTATCAATAAACTGGACTCAGCAGAAAAAAGAATTAGCGAGGCCAAAGATATGTTAGTAGAAAGTTGCCTAAATTAAGGGCTAAGATTTAGAGTAGAATACGGAAAGAATAGAGAGCTTCGAAGAGCCTTTGGACAATTACAAAAGGTGTAGATTTGCATAATGAAAACACCTGTGCCAGAAAAAGAAGGATGAAAGAAGTAGAAGAAATACTATGCATGGATCCCTCCTGCGCCTTTTCAAAAAAATTCGTTAAAAAGAAAACACTCATTCAGGAATGAAAACAAAGCAAATATCATTTGTTTTTTCCAATTTTATTTTGATATAATAATTAACTGAATACCAAGGTTAACACATTTTTTTTTTTTAACATTTTCTTCTAATCAGGAGCAGGGATGCTCACGACTACTGCTTCTGTTCCATTTGTATTGGAAAACTCCCAACCAAATGAAATGGGTAAGGGAGAAAAAGACACAAAGCATCACTACAAGACACAAAAGAGAGAGGAAGAAGAGTACAAGAAGGGAGAGGAAGAGAAGGAGGAGGAAGGAAGGGAAGGAGAAGGAAGAGTAGAAAGGAGACGAGTAAGAGAAGGTAGAGGGAGATGAGGAAAAGGAGGAGGAAGAAAAGGAGAAGGAGGAGGAAGAGAAACTGCTTGCTAACATGATTTCATTCCTGGGAAACCCTGAAGACGCCAATAAAGTGTCCCTAAGCTATGTCACTAGCTGTGGCTTCTTTGCTTGCAGATGGCTCCCTTCTTCCTGCATCTTCAGAGATGACAGAAGATCCCCGAAGGACAATCAGTACCCAGAGCAGACGCTCTCTGCAGAGCCCCTGCTCTTTCCTTGGCTACCCTGGGGGGAGAGCTGCCTTCTCCAGCTGAATCCTTCCATTTCCCCTAAGACCCACTGTGAAAAAGGGGGTCTGCTTTTTCGGGAGAATGGTTCAGAGGGTCAATGCTGCCCTGATTAAGTCCCATGTGATTCTGTCCATTAGTCTTTCTGAGTTCTTGTCATGTCAAAGGATGCTAGATTTCCTCCCAGGTGGACCTGACGGGAGAAAGCCCCCTTGAGCTTTCTCCTGGGTGCACCCTCAGGAAGCACAGCTCAGTGAGTATCCTCAGGGACTTTGCGCCAGAAAGGAAAAAGAGAATGGAAAGGAACTGCTAAGGGCTGCCCAGCTTTCAGGCTGCCTGCTCTTTGGAGAGGCAGAAACTAAAGGCATGTTCCATAGAACCAGGAACATACCAGGAGGCGATCTCAAAGAAGCTGTGCTGACCTGAGTTCCAGGTGCTGCACATCTGTTTGCTCATTTGATTTTTATGATCTGGGAATCAGATCATACACCTGTTTCAGAGAGAAGTCACTTGGGGCCCAGAGACAGAGGGTATGGCTGCCTAGGTAAGATAAGCGCCAGCTTGCAAGATGCCTGCTCTGGCAACTGCCCTGTTCTGTTTAGAGCGAAGAAGAACAAGAGAAAATGGAATTAGTTGCCAGCTTTTAAATCAAGAGATCTTACCTGAAACCTTAATATTTTGTGTCTTGTGGAAAACTGGAAGCCTTAGCTCCCTGTATGTCTTCCTGCCTGGCACTAGGGAAGAGGGCAACCACTCTGCTGCTCTCAGAATGTTTGACAATGGTCGCCACTCTCATTCAGAGTCCCATGGGACACATGAGAGAGCACACAGCAGACCGCCTATCTCCATATGTGAAAGTCTGCCCTGTGATTGCAATGACATTTCAGGCTAGTGGAGAAAGGACCACCCCTTGGAGCAGGAATGCCTGCAGCATGGGACCCCAGAGCTAAGGTCACACCTGCTCAATATGAGAAAAGAGTCAGACCCGGATGTGGCTGACCCAACCAGGTGGTGGGGGTGCTAAGAAAGACAAGAAGCACATGACTCATTGCAACCCACCTCACTTAATACCCAGGCAGCCTTCCTGCTCCACAGGAATGGGCAGACCATTTTCCCACACACTTCCTGACGTAACAAGATTCCTCAGCATCAAATCTAGCACCTGTCTACAGCTGAAGAGGCAGAAGCTGAGCCCATGCCCTGCAGTATCTTCTCCTCCAGCCCTGATGTTGGCTCCTATAACTTCATGCTGAAGGAGCCACACAGAAGGCTCCACCAGTGGAGTGTGGTGGGGGACTTTACCCAAGGAAGATACCACCAGCTCTGGACTGGGAAGGTCCCCGGTGCTTTCTAGCCCTCACAGTTGAAAGTTTCTCTCACTCAACAGTAAGTGACATTCTCAGAATACCCAAGTCTAGCATGAATCTAACTGCCCATGAGGATGCTGATAGGGATCTTGGGGACTGATAATGAAACCAAAGCAGCCCTCACTTCATATAGTCTCCAGGAAAAAGCCACTCCTGAGCAGGGCCTTCCAGGGAAAGTGTCTGGTTCTACAACAATAATATTGTTCCCTCACCATAGCACTGATGTGCCTGACTGGCCATAGCCATGCTTTCCTATCTTGCAGCCGAGAATTCTGGGACCCCATGGCCTCTGCTGGAGTTGTCAGGCCTTGTTTTTCCATAGTAAAGATGTCCACAAGGGTACCTGCTGTTCACTTGGAAGGACAGCAGGAAGTTTGTTTGCTTTTAGAACTTTGGCCACTTTGCCAATGACATTCTCATGAAAACCCTGTAGTAAAGTCTCATTTCCTGGTCAGGAGACAAAAGGGGAGATGTGTTCCTCTCTGTGGAGCTTAAGGCCCTCCTTGCTACAGCTCAGGGCTGTGTCCAGCCATGATCACACTCAGAACTCTTTAAAAGTCAGACTGGCCAAGTGGTGTGGTTATTTCTTTTCACATATATCTTGAACTGACAGTAAGATATTGGGAAATTATACTAAAGAATTCCCTCCATGGTGCCTTGGCTAACCGCATACTTAAGAAGAAGCCACCGTGTACTCTAAGCCACAGCCCCAAAGCAGAAAGTTACCCTCTGTCTTCACCACCTGTCAGAGAGAAGGCAGGCCACCAAGCAATGGGGGTTAGGTAAGAAGTATAAGACCTGTTCCCGCACATGGCATACCCAAGCTTTGCTATTCAGCAGAGCCCCAGAATACAGGTCCACACACATACACACATGCACACTCATATGTATTATATGCCCTATTATTTACATAATGTTGACTTTTTTCTTTTTTATATTGTCTTCAGACACATTTTAAACCTACTAAATAAATTGATTGAAAGTTAAATAGTTAATTGCCTTGCCATAAATGGGAAATCCATACCACTGCCATAGGTGAAGACAAATGCACTGAATAGCAAATGGGGTGATTGAAATCTAGCTGCGATCTATTGTCCCTAGCTGTTGCCCACTTCCTCATATTAAAAGGGAAGGTAGGGATGTTAGTATCTTAATGCCATAAATTGAGATCTGTAGGCAGAGCAACTGAAAGGCTTTTAAGAGGATTTTTAATTTTTTTTCTGTGTGATTCAACATTATTAAATGGGAGCAAGATGGCGGTGCAGGTGGTGCAGGCGGTGCAGGCAGTTCATCTGGAATCCGACGCTTTCCTAGTTTGTCTCAATCATGCCCTGAGCACAGAAAAGGAGGAGGTGATGGGGCTGTGTGTAGGGGAGGTTGACACCGTGAGAATTGTTCATGTTCATTCTGTCATCATCCTCCGACGTTCTGATAAGAGGAAGGACCGAGTAGAAATTTCTCCAGAGCAGCTGTCTGCGGCTTCAACGGAGGCAGAGAGGTTGGCCGAAC